GCTTCCTTCCCGAGGTTTCTTATCTTCTTCCTCCTTTCTATCTCGAACGACTTGTCTTTCTGCTCACGTTGCGAGCATCAGAGCAGCGGAAGCTCTCCGACCCCCGACTATGACTGGTCCGTGGAGGAGGTGAGTGGAAGAAGACGAAGAGGAGACGGAGACTGACTTACTGCAGGTCTCAGTGCCGGTTTCTCAGAGAATGTGAGCCCCTCCTCCTGATCCTCATCCTCCCTTCTCGCCTCTCCTCCTCTCGTCCTCCTCTCCCCTTCTCTCGTCCTCCTCTCCTCTCTCCACTCCTCTCTCCACTCCTTTTCTTCTTCTCTTCCTTCTTTCTTCTTCTTGTCCTCGTCTCTTTCTCCTCTTTAGCGGTGTGTGAAAATTTTCCTTGCAGCCAGGCTTTCAACCAGGGCGAATCGATGGTGGGAGGAGGCGGATGAGGTTGAGTAGCCTGACGATGGTCGCAGACGTCGCCCAAGTTCATGGGCAAGAGCGTGTAAGGCGAGAAGGGATAATGTGAAAAGAATGAAAAAGATAGAGACTATGCCAGTATGATGGAAAGGAGAAGAGCGGAGCAGGAGCAGGAGCAGGAGCAGGAGCAGGAGCGAAGGAGAAGGTAGATAACAGTTGGTGGTGGGGGAGGGAGGGAAGACAGGGGCACGCCGAGATGAGGGGAGGGGACGGGCGGGGCGGACATGGTCTAGTGTTTACTTTTCCTGCTCCTGTCATGATCCTCCTTGAAGATCTCGCAGAATCTTGAGGTTGCCCGTCTTGATTGTTGGCTTCTTCCCCTGCAGCCAAGTCATCGATAGATCCATCCTATCCTCCTCCCCCCTTTCCCTACTCTACCTCCCCTGCTCCTCGTCCTTCCCTGCTCTGCCTCTTCTATCCTCGTTCTGCCCTCGTCATACCATTCCATCCCTCCTAACTCGGTGTTCCCTCCCTTCTCCGGCCTTCCCTCCACTCCTCTCCACTCCCTCCTATACCTTGGGAAACTGCCGAGGATAATCGTAGACAACTTTCTGTGCCCTGTCCTCTTCGTCTTTCCAAGACGCCTGTCCCTGCCATCATCTCAGCAGCAGGTCGAACTGGGAGATCGATCTTACCAGGTCGACGTTCGATCCTTCAGCCCCCACCCCCTTGATTGGGCTCAGCGAGTTCTTGTGCTCCGTCAGCTGCAGAGGGAGGGAGAGGAGAAGTTTCACCGGCGACTTGGACTCGTCGATCGACCGCCGGTGTACCATGCTCGTGTCTCGGACATACTGCAGGAGAGAGGTGTGAGGAGGTGGGGAGGAGGAGGAGAAGGAGGAGGAGGAGAGGAGCAGCAGCAGCAGCAGGGGGAGGAGGAAGCGAAAGAGATTGTCAGACCTTGTTCTCGCTCGCCAGGTATGAAGTGACGACTCCATGTCCATGAGCACCAGGGAAGATGGGAGGAGGAAGGAATTCCTTGGGCACCTGCGCCTGTACGGGGAGTGAGGCGGCAGAGAAGAAGGGATGCACAACAAGGGAAAAGACGGGGAGAGAGGAGGGGAGGAGGAGGGGAGGGAAGGAGAAATAGGAGGAGGAGATGGACAAGGAAAGTAGGGAGAGGCAGGGAGAGGGTCTGCTGCTCACGCTGGGTGGATGAAGCGATCTCTTGGATTCTTGAGCCGCACTCCCACCGTCGTCCTTCTCACCCTCTCGTCCGGTTTGATCCTGCGAACGGTCAGCTCGTCCTCGACCTCCCGCATGCGCCAGCACCGAGCAGAGGGGTCAGGGACGATGAGTTTGTCCTTGGCATAGAAGTCTTGCTTCTCCCAATCGTAGCTCGCCTCCTCCTTCGACGCTTCCTGCACCTTCTCCTTCTCCTGCTTCCCTCCTTGCGCCGGTGCTTGTTTGCCTCCTTGCTTCCCGCTCTGTGCCGATGCGCCTGGTGAGCCTGCAGCTTCCTGCTGCTGCTGCTGCTGCTGCTGCTGCTGTTGTTGCGGCTGCTGCTGCTGCTGCTGCTGCTGCTTCGAACCTGAATCCGTGGACTTCACCCGCTCAAGCTGCTTGCTGTTGTCCACTTTCTCTTTGCTCTCCTGCGCCCCCACAAGATAAGGATGAAGGCGGTGGTGATAATGATGGCGACGATCGGATAAATAAGGAGTAGAGAAGGAGGAAGGAGCAGGAGGAGGAGCAGGAGGACACCGAATCAGTGTGAGAGGAGGTGAAGAGAATTGGAAGGGAAACAAGCAGGAGAGGAGGAGGAGGACGACAAGTAGGGAGGAGGAGGAGGAGGAGGAGGAGGGGGAGGAGAGCGCAAGAAGGCTCTGACCTGGAGGTTGGTCGGTTCCTTGCGGAAAGATTGATCTAGGGAAGCGAAGTCTGACTCTACGAGGGTCTTGTACTCGTTGCGGGTCATCCTGAGGTTGTCTCGCTCCCTTGGAGGGCCTTCACGTCCTCGTGAGACATGCAGGGAGGGAGGGGAGAACGAGGAGCAAGAGGCGGCGGAGCGAGAGGAGAGAGGAGAGAGGAGAGAGGAAAGAGGGGGAGGGAGAGGATGGACAGGAGAATGAGTTGAGAAGGTAGGGGGAGGAAAGGTCGAAGTGGCAGCGAGATTGGGAAGATAGAGGGAGGAGGGAGGAGGGAGGAGGGAGGAGGGAGGAGGGAGGAGGGAGGAGGGAGGAGGGAGGAGGGAGGAGGAGCAGCACCATACCTGACTTCACAGCAGCACCTTCCTTCAAAGTAACGCCGGAAGCCAGTACGTGAGTCTGCATGGCAGGTGGCTGCCGAAACAACCAGTGAGGAGAACGAAAATGGAAAAAGTTTGAAACATGACAAGGAGGAGGAAGAACAGAGTGAGGAAGAAAAAGATGAGGAAGAACGTCAAGGAGAGGAGGAGGAGGAGGAGGATACCTGCACAGTGTCCGAGGGGACAAAGAACTTCTCGGGCTTGATGGAGCTGCTCTCTTGCTCGACGTGCCGGATCTTCGACTCCTCCTGCAAGCAGGGATCAGGTGAATGAGAGCTGAGGAGAATTGCCTCCTCCTCACATGAAAGACTTCTGTCGTCTGGTTCGGCGGCAGAGCGCTCTTGACAAGAATGTTGGGTCCAGGGATCTGAAGGGAGAGATGAGGGGCAGGGGAAGAAGGCCAGATGGAGGGAGAGAGGGAGGAGAACAAAAGTACAAAGAGGAGGAGGAGGAGGAGGAGGAAGAGGAGGAGGAGGAGGAGGAGGAGGAGGAGGACGAGCAGCAGCAGCAGCAAAGGAGTGGGAAGAGGAGGTGGTGGTGTTTGAGGAGAAAGGAGGAGGAGGAGGAGAAGGAGGAGGAGGAGGAGGAAGGAAGAGTAGGAGGAGAAGACAAGAGGACGAAGAGGGGACGGCGGATCGTCGGAGGGAGCAAAGGTTCTCACCTTTTCTCCCGAGATCTCATTCACAACGAGCAGCTCTCCCTTCCCGTCCATGGTGAAATTCTGGGAAAACCCGTCAAGCTAATTGCGTTTCGGCGATCGTTATTACCTGCCCTCTGCTCTGGAGACTCTTCACCATCTTCTCAACTTTCTCCACCTGAACAAGTTTTCATCAACATCCACATTATCATCTCCCTCGCTCCCTCGCTCCCTCGCTCCCTCGCTCCATCTACTCCTCCATCTATCATCCTTCTCCTTCCCCTGTACTCCTTTCTTGCCTGTTGAGCATATTCCTTTGCCTTCCTCTGTCTTGACACCTGAGAAACAAACAAGTCAACGACGTGCTGATCCATCACGAAACACAGGAAACAAGGAAGGGAACGAATGGAAGGGAAGGTGGAGGAGGAAAGATGGAAGGAAGGAGTGCTCGCCTGCTCCTCGTGCTTTGCCTTGAGCTGTTGACGTATTGCCTCCTCCTCCGGATTTTCCTCCCTTGTGACCTGCACAGCAACGACGTCAACTCAGCACTCCACAACCACCACAACCACGTCCTCCTCCTCCTCCTCCTCTTCCACCCCCCTCCTCCATCCCTGACCTTCTTTGTCTCGTCCATCCTCGTCCGCTGCGTCAGCGTCTTTCCTTGAGCAGGAGGTTTCTTCTGCGCTGGCTCCCTCGTGCTCCGCACAGACCTCCTCGAGTTTCGAGAGCTAGCGCTTGCTGGCCTTGACTTCGCTCCGTCTCCCTGCTCCCAGTGTCAACGATTCCCCTCATCCTCCTCCTCCTCCTCCTCCTCCTCCTCTGCCTCTCTTGCAACGCATGCTTATGAGTGTCTTCCCTCCAACACGCTCCGTTCTCTCCACTTTCCTCACTCCTTCCTTCCCCTTCAAACACCTCATCCAGATCCTCCCCACCGCTCGCCGCCCTCCGCTCTCCTTCCTCTCCTCACCACGAACTGCTCAAAGCTCAGCGGCTTCAGCTTCCTCTTCAGCGGCACCGACCCTCTGCTCCAGCTGTCGATCTCCGCCGGGACGGGCTCGGGCCCGGCGTCCCAAGTAGGATCGCTCTCCAACTCCCCGGGGTCATGCTCCACGAAGAACACGTTCAGCAGCATGTCCATGGTCTTGATCGCATGCTGGGCGGCGTACTGATAGGTCAGCCGCTCTACCCTTGATCGCTCCAAGAACATGTCGAACAGCTCTCCCAAGCAAACGTCTATCACATGCCCTGCCACACTCTTTCTGAAGTCGTCGCCAACCAGCTTCTCCTCGCTCGTCTCAGCAGGAGCTTCTCCCTCCGCTGCTTCAGGGACTCTCTCTTCCTCCTCCATCCTCTCCGTCAACCTCTCCCTCACTTTCTCCGGGTCCACCAACAACGGCCGGGCACTCGCCTGCGCGAGCAGAGGAGCAGGGGGTTTGACGTAGCTGGCCACCTCCTCTACCAGGTCCTCAAGGTCCATCTTGTCGCCATGAAAGTCTCTCCTGATCATCTCAAAAATCTCCAGGACCGAGTCCATGTTCTCCTGGAACGCCTCCAGCCTCCTCTCCACGGCCTCACTGTTGTCGTCCAGCCTGCGAATCAAACGGGCCTTGACCTCAGGGTCGTCCGGGGGAGGCCTGAAGTGGCTGTGGTAGATGTCACCCGTGACAGGATCTACCATCCTCCCCAGGCAGCGCTCGAGCAAGATGTTGTCAGGCACTTCTATGTAGATGAACTTCTCAGGTATGATCCCTAGCTCGACCATGGCTTCGGCCTGCTCCGTGGTACGCGGGAAGTTGTCCAAGAGCCATCCATGCTGCTGCACCTCAGGTTGCGACACCTTGTCCCGGACGATACTAAGAGCGAGCTCGTCTGAGACCAGCCTTCCTTCCTTGAGATGCTCCTCAATCTGCTTTCCGATCTCACTCCCCTTGGCGATCTCCTCTCGCAACACGTCTCCCACTGAGATGTGCACGACCCCGAACTGCTGGACAAGAGCTCGGCATATGGTTCCCTTCCCACATCCTGGCCCGCCCATGATGATCAGGCGAGGAGGAGGAGGCTTCTCCTCTATGACGAGCGCCCCTCCCCGCTCCCTCCGCTTCATCCCCATCGTCAACTGCCTTGGGCGTTGAAGAAAATGTTGGGGGGTAGGGTTCCGAATTGGGTGTTGAAGTGGGGGTACCAGAGGAAATTGTGAATAAGTATGGGGTCTGTTTCTACAAAATTGAAGATTCAAAGGAGGGTACTATGGAAAAAATTAAGCATGATGAGGGTGGGGTTATATATGGAAGGGTAGTGGAGTGCAGGCGAAAACGAAATTTTCCCTGTCGGAGAGCTTCGGTGACAACAATCCAACGAAGGAGGAGGAGGAGGAGGAGGATAGGAAGGGAGAGGGGAAGAGTAGAAGGATAACATAGAGATCTGAGCAAGGAGCAGAGACCAGGTGCCTGGGAAAGGCAGGGACAGTGCAGGAGCCATGATCTCCAGAGTTATTGCAGAGCCCCTCCTCCTCCACCATCTCCTCCTCCTCCTCCTCCTCTGCTACATGCCAGTGCGAGTCTCCTGGTCGAACTCGGCCCAGCCTGCATCACTCGGGGCTCCCTTCCTTGGAGCAGGAGCGCCCCAGTGCATGCGGCTGCGGGGGGGGGAGGACGGGGAGGACTCGTCCGACATCATCCAATTCTACGAGCAGATCCTGGAGGGCAACCCCACCTCCGCCACTGCCCATGTCAGCCTCGGGCGAGTGTACGAGCGCAAGAACAACTTCGATGCGGCTGAGAGCCAGTACGCCATAGCAAAGGCCCTGAACCCGTTGGACCCACTTTGCTACTCCTACCTCGGTCAGGTCCTGCTGAACCAGCGGCAGCGCCCTGAGGCAGCCATGGAGGAGTTCAAGCAGGCGCTGGCGCTGAGCCCGGATGCAGCAGAGCTGCATCATGTGATGGCTCGGATCAACCATGGCTTCGGTGAGCAGGAGGAGGAGGGGAGGAGGTGTGGGGGAGGCGGCGAGAGGAGAGGAGGGGGGGGAGAGTATATGCTGTCCTGACCGGGGTACTGCAGGGAAGTACGAGGAAGCAAAGGATGGATACAAGAAAACTCTGGAGCTGCAGCCTAACGATGGACAGGTCGGTAAACTTGCAGGGGAGAGCGAGTGCGGGATGACTTCATCCTCTCTTGCTCTCCTTCTCCTCCCTATTCTGTTCTTTGAGGGCTGAATGTGAGAATAGACTGTGTCTGAATGTGAGAATAGACTATGTCGGATCTCGGTAGCTTGCTGGAGGCCGAGGATGGCGATCAAGACACTGTGTTTGGGTTGTACAAACAGGCGACCAAGTTTCATCCAGACAGCGCACTGGGTGAGGAAGGGAAGGGAGGGGAGGGGAGGGGAGGGGAGGGGATGGGAGGGGATGGGAGGAGATGGGAGGGGAGGAGAGGAGGTGGGAGGGGATATGAAAGTTGTCTTTGTTCTCGTTTCTGATGGGATGTGAAAGTGTGGTCGAACTATGGCAGAGCTCTGCTGAATAAGAAGAAGTACCGTGATGCCATCACGTCGTTGAGAAACGCGCTTGTGCGTACCCGATCACGATGGTTTCCCTTGCCAACTGACGCTGTGTAGCGCATTGAACCTGACTCTCACCACGCCCTCTGCAACCTGGGAGCAGCGTTGGCCTCCTTCGCGCCGGACTGCACCGAGAGTGAGTTCATGGAAGATGAGGAGCCGAGGAGACGAGGGAGGGAGGGGATGGTTGAGGCAGAAGGGGGAAGGACAGAGGAGGAGGAGATCAATGAGAAGGAGAGGAAGGAGGAGGGAAAGGAGGAGGGAAAGTGTGGTAGCGATAAGGAGGAGAAGGAGAACAAGGAGGAGGAGGTGATGGTTTGTGACGGTAGCGGTGAAGGAGGAGGATGTGGAGATGACAGTGGGAGCAGTCGAAGACATTTACGCTAGGGCACTTGATCTCTGCCCATTCGACCCGTCGACCCTCGTCAACTACGGGAAGGTCTGCATGGAGAAAGGAAGAGTGAAGATGGCCGAGGAGCTGTTTGAAGAAGCACTGAAGCTCGAACCTGACATGGTACCTGTCTAATGCTTTCGAACCATGTCAATAGTGTGCTGAGACGACGATGTTGCCGTATACGATGATATGAAGTTTCATGTCGATGTTGATGATATTGATGATGTGTTGCAATGTGCTTGTTGCCATCTGTTTGTTCAGGTGAAGACATTGTGAAGTGAACATGTCGATCTTGTCTATGTTTTTCACTGCTTCAAACTAGACCTTTCCTCGGAGGCTATCTCAGACTTTCCGCTTCCTCTGCTCCCTGCCAGCCACTGACCTCTGCATCAGGTTGAGGCCATCAGTGGGCTCGGAAGCATCATCGAGCATCGAATGACAGTGAGACGACGAGGACGGGGAGGACGAGGACGAGGACGAGGACGAGGACGAGGACGAGGAGGGCTAGGGAGATGACGGGGCGGACGAGGACGAGCACGAGGACGAGGACGAGGACAGGGAGGGGGAGGCGAGTTGTCGCTGAGGGTGAGAGCAGGATGAGCTGGACACGAAGAGGAAGGAGCAGTTCCTGAACATCGCGGAGGCCCATCACGAGAAAGCACTCTCTCTGCTCCCCGACAACCCGGATGTCATCACCAACTATGCTGTGAGGTCTGAAGGAGGAGGGGAGGAGGAGCTGACTGCCTCGCAGTCCTTCCTGCAGGCGAATCGGGGGAACCGGCAGAATGAAGCTGAGGAGCTGTACCAGCGAGGTTGCCTCTCTGAGATGATGATGATGAGGAGGAGGAGGAGGAGGAGGAGGAGGAGGAGATGGTGGACATCGTGGTGGTTGAGGACGATGGCAATGTTGATGATCAATGATATTTCTCACATCCTGATGTACTCCTCGTCGTCTCTCTTCAAGTGTTCTGCTCTCTTCTGCTCTTTTAGTTTCTTGTGCTTCTCTTTCAACCCTCCCTCCCTCCCCTCTCCTCCCTTCCCTTCCCTCTC